AGTGGGGACATTTTATATGCAAAGAATTATACTATCTTTAAAAATCTTTGCTAATCTGGTACATGAACATGTAGAATTTATTTTAAAATAGTAATTGTCTTCATAATGACCAAGACTCCTTCTCATGTTTTCTTTATTCCCAGTTAGCAGAATAATGAAAATATTTTTTAAAATTTCTCAATTGCATGTGTAGTTGATGACACTAAATTGGTCTGAAAATGACAAGTAGCATTTGGTGCCAGAGAAAATATAAACATAAAATATTTTAGCAGGGCCGCCGAGGGGCATACCGAGAATGGCCTGTGCTGGTACCAGAGTCATGCTGATGTCTGTGGTCCAGGCTGCCTTTGAGGGCCTTGTCTGGGGCCATGGTCCTACTTCAGAGCCTCTGTGGTCTGTGCTGTTGCCAGAAACCATGTGAGGCTGCGATCTGCTGACTGGGGAGAACGAGGGGGCTACTCTTGCTGTGGTATCGATGATGCATAGATGTGCAGTTGAGAGGGAGGGACATGGAAGGCTTCTGTGACAACCCCTAACTCTAGCCCTAACCCCAACCTCCACTAAAAAATGTAACAGCTAAACAGGAAGCCACCGAAGAAAATTCAGTGTGGGGGATGCTGAAGTCTAGTTCTCCACAATTGATGGCTTCCAGCAGGAAGGCAGGGGCGAAGGACTCAGTTCTACTTAAAGGGTGGGCCACTGAGAGCTTGACCATGCTCCAGTGAGTATAGAGATAGCACAATTTTTAAAATTATTTTTTATTTTTACTTTTTTTGGTGGCCATGGGGAGGTCACAAGGGTCAGGGTTGACATGAAAGGACTGGGAAGTGACTGTGATCGGGAGTGCATGATGTGAAAATTCCGTATAATCGATAAAAGTGTTACACTGAAAAAATAAAACCTTTTCACATAAACATCTTTGTCTTGGGATAACTAGTTCTGAGTGATTCTGGGTTCTTATATACAGGCTCAATTAGCTGCAAAATGTACCTGCAGCTGTGGAAGCCAGTTGAGGTGCTGATAAGAGGTTTTTTTGTAATTTCTTCTTCAAGACCAGAGACTACCAGCCAAACATGAATTCTAGTTTTCTCACAACGAATATTGATCTTTTCTCTGCAGAAATAGAGCTATCAGAACTATGGCTCCTTGATCATTTAATCCTCATGCAGAAGACCGTGGCACTGGTCCTAAGTCTCACACCTCCTCTCTCACTGTGAGAAAAGTGGCTATGACAGGTGTTCACTCTGCCATTGAAGAAGGGACATCGACATACACACCATCATGACGTAGCTTTAAAGTGAAACCTTAAATGTCTACAGACAATTCTGACTCTCTCAGATTCTCATAAAGCTGTTAAAATAGAGATTGTACGAAACTGTATGATAACATATTATGGTATGTTATTGTTATATTGAAAGGGTTAAACTAACTTTGTAACCTATATGTCTTCTAAAGCCTATAGCTTTGAGTTTTAGGTTCAGGTTAAGCTAAAGCCTCTTAGTACCTTTCCAGAGAATGGAGGAATGTGACCCTATCTGTGAGGACAGATATTAAAAAAGGCAAGCAAGCAATGACCTTCACTCAGCAAAAAAAAAGGACCAGACCCTTGTCTTTGAGATAGCATTTCTTAGCAATGAACCCAGACTTGTTCTGAGTAGCTTTTGACCTGCAGCCAAAAGTCCGAAGCCCCTAATCTTCAAGGATGAGCTAACCACCTCCACCTTAAATTGCAGCTGCATCCACACTTGGCAGGACTGGCCAAGCTTGAGCACCTAAGACTAACCAATTATCTTATTTTATAGCTTCCTCATCCAATCCTAAATTGCCAAGACTGCAACTTCAAATCTCCCGCAATTTTTCTTTTAAAAACCTAAAGGCCTTTGTCTCCGGGTGCCACTCTTTGCTGACGGGCAGGGGTGACCGCGTTGCACAATGGTTAATAAACCTCTTGCTTTTGCAACGAGTCTTGGTCTGGGGGAGTTTCTGGGAAGGGCGCAATCTTAAACTCCTGAGCTGTGAGACCCCAGGTCTTACAATATCTTGTTCCATGGCAAGTGGATGATACATAGATTCAAACAAAAAATGGCATAAAAATGTATGGAATGTAAGAAGAAAACTGAAAAATAGGTGGTTTAAACTCAGCCAAATGCTCGGAGAGTTGGGAAAGTGAAACAAGGTTCTTTAGCATAAGACGCCAGTCCTTCATCTGCCACAGCAGCAGGGGCAGCTCTTCCTGGCTCCTCTAGTCTAGTACGTGTTCTCTTGTTCTCCTTTCTAACCACCCAGGTCCAAACTTTCTTAAATCTTGAGGCTCTGGTTAAAGGACCCACCCTATCCCTTGGAGGGACAGGCGAAGCTTCCAAGTGAGGACAAGTGGAAGCTGAAATCTGAATGCAGAGCATGAAGACTATGTAGATGGCGACCAGCAACCATGCCGCCCTTTTCTGATTACTGTACTGTCAGTTTTCTCTGCTCTCTGGATTGTCTCTAAATCTTGCTGACTTCCCAGCCTGGTTATCTAGAGGCACCTCCCATCAATCTTGAAGCTCCCCATAACCTTCCATGAAATTCCCCTTTGCTCAGTTTTAGAGAAGAAATTTCTTTTGCTTGCAACTGGAGGACTTGGGCTTAATTTCTCTCCTTCAGCTTGTCTCTCATAATATCACAGAAGCAATCTCTCTTTACATTGAGTAGCATGCTCAATACATTCTAATATTAAGGAAATAAAAGGAAAAGCAAGCCCAGCAGTAGAACAAATGACTAACATTCTGAAGAAGAAGAGCGGCTTTTAGGCAGCATTCTTTTAGCTCTCCTGCTCTTTCCTCTTTTCTTCCTTCTGCTCCCTCCCCTCTCCTCCCTCCTCCTTCCTTTCTTCTTCCACTCTGACTTTTTTCAGAAGAAAAAGGAGGCCCCAAAATAGTCTCAAACTGGTTCTCTTGCCTCAACTTCACAAGTGCTGAGTTATAGGTGTGTGTCACCATGCCCAGTTCTACCTATTTTTTTTTTTTAACAAGAATAAGGACAATATTTAATGGTTTGGCGGGGGGTGGGGGGAGATCGTATCTAGAATCTCTTTAAACTAAGAATCTGAAAAATATGCTCACGCTGAGTTTTGGTAGCCATGCAATAAACATTGACTGTCTTATAGAAATAGACTACTGCTAAGTAAACACACAAGGAGTCACTTAGGGAAAATTGCCTTCGTTGAGCCATACATTTTTCTATGCATTTACACACACTTTCTTATTAAACCTTTAACACATATGTGCCAGTGAGCAGCAGTTATCAAGACAATGATGGGTGGGGACATTAGTGACCCAGCGAGGTGGCAAGCAATGCTCCCTTATTCACACACGTGCTGAGTGGTGGCACAAAGAACCTGTGAGTGTGTATGCTACTCTTGCTTCCACTATTCAACTATATTTAACTATACTTTCTCCTTATTCTAAACAGAGATTCCAGTCACTACGGCTGGTTGAAAGTCCTCAGTGTAGTTCCTGTAGTGAGGAATACCTCCGCCTCTTAATGAGTGCTTTACTTGTTAAAAATACGTTAAAAGGCACAGCATACAAATGCTTATTGCAGTGCACACTGCCTTCTAAATTTATATTATTTTAATAATTTTAAATTAAGATATAATTGTATCATTTCCCCCTTTCAAAACCCTTCCTCCCTCTAACCCTTCACATGTCACTCCCACTCTCAAATGTAGCCTTTTTTTCTTTGATTATCCCTACACATCTAATCTGTATGTATGTATCTAATATATATGTATGTATCTAATATGTATGTATGTATGTATCTAATATATCTGCACATACAACCTGCCATGAAGGCAGAGGCAAAGGAATGATTCTAAGAAAACCAGAAGTCTGCCTTTCTTGGAAACGGCTTCATAAACAAGACCCTCAGAACAATGACACTATCAGTAAACATGCTAGGGCTCAAGGGAGGGTGCTTTATCTCTTGACACCATTGTGAATATTTTGGGGTTCAAGATGCTTTCACATTTGATCTTCCAGCATAAAATGAAAAAGCATTTGCTTATGAAATATCCCAGAAACTAGCACTAACCCTCTTTGCCATCAGCTGTAATTCTTTTCTCTGCACCTACCCTGGTGTCCGAGTGTTGAGTCAGCATCCTGGAGTCCAATATGAAAAATCATGGGATAAAAGCAGGGAGACAGACAGGTCTCAGGAGGCCAAAGACATCTAAACGCTTTGTGGGTCTAAAAACGGAAAACGATTGCTGAGCCATTGGTTTGAGAATAATGTCAAGAACTCCTCAAAACTGACTGAGGCCTCTGCCTATCTCCAGTGTGTGGAAGAACATAAACATGACCATCTCGTGAAATTCCGGTTATTTCAAATCCTGCAGTAGTTTAAATCACTCACATCTACTAAGTATTTCTCTCCAATTTCAAGTCTGCCACTCTTGCATAACTTCACATTGGATCAAGGTTTCCAATTCAAAGACACAATATTGTTTATTAAAATTCTTCATTTTCCTTAAAAGGGAGAAAAGACAGTGACCAGCAAGAATGCCAAGCCTGCTAATTCAACAGTGGTGTCAATGGTTTTACTGCTGATCAGTGGTAATCAAATACTCTTCCTCTTCAGGTTCAGGACTCCAGTCGACCTGTGCCCGCTGGGGCTTCTTAACAAGTTGTCCACACTTGTCCACAAAGGTGTGTTGCCATGAATTCTCAGGAGGTCCCAGCAGATCCATTCTGGGCTAGGGCATCTGAACAAGTCAGCCCGGTCAGGGACAGCGAGGCGCGCTCCGGGAGGGAGGTGGCACCTGCAGGCTCAATGCTTCCAGCCTCGGGGGCGCTAGGACGGGGGTGCAGGGTTGCAGCCCTGTGCACGGCTGCAGAGGCCTGCGGGAGCCGTGTGAGCCGCGGCGGTCGGCTCGGGTGCGGGAGCGCGGAGACGGGGACTTCCGGGGAGCGCGCGTGTCGCGGGTGGCCGCGGCGGGGCGGGAGCGCGCAGCGCCGGGAGGGCGGAGCGGCTGCGGGGGGTGGCGGAGGCCGGCGGCTGGGAGGGCAGAGCCGGCCGGGCCGCGCGGGGCTGGCTGGCTGGCAGAGCCCTTCCGCGGACACGGTTTCCCCGCGGGAGATCGGGAGCGCGCGGGGGAGCGCGCACAGCCGCTCGCTTCCACCAGCCCAGAGCGCGCGAGCATCTCTGCTGCAGCCGGGCCGGGCAGACGGCTCTGCTGCAGTTTCCACGAGCCCAGGAGACTGCCAGGCGCCCGCCGCCTCCCCTGGGTATCAAGCCCAGAAGACCGCTCTCCCCAGCATCGGGTAAGCCAGTCTCTCTCCTTGTGACGGGTTCGGAATTAGTGCCTGCAGACCCAAGGGAGAGGGTGGGAGGCTGCGGATGCACCAGACCCGGGAAGACCTGGACTTGCATTTCAGGGGATGCAGCCTCTGCTGGCGTCGGCTAGCAGGAGCAATTACTACTCCGGTTACTTATTATGCCAACCTAGAGTTGCAATCCCCTCCCCCAACCCGGTATGCACTATGCTTCCTGGTTACCAAGGAGACTTGTTTAAACATCAGCCTTGGGATGTATATTGGAAGACATGGTTCCTTAAATCCTATTTATTTTGATTTTTTTTAAATAATATGAACATTGAGGACTTTGTGGCAACTTGATAGTCATTAATTTGGATTCAGACAATGGTTTTATTCAACTTAAAAAAAAGTGACAACGTACTATGTAAGATATGCGGTTTTTTTTAAGGCCGTCAGATTAGTCTTTCAGAGGATTGTGCCTTGCATTATAATTTACTCCCATTTTGGTGATCTTAAAATAAATCCAATTTAAAAGCTGCCCTCTCCCCTTATTTCCAGTTCTGTTTTGCATTTTACTTGTATTAAATTAGCAGATGATTTTATTGTGGCACCCACACCAGGAAACTCTTCTATTGTAAACTGGCCAGAACAGGAACAGTGCTATGTGAATTTCTAAGGGTATAGATGGCATTCAGGACACACAGTCTTTCTGACATTTCTGTGCTTATTGCACAGACATATTTTTAATATGGTCCTCACAGATTTCTTTCTTTTAAATTAAGGATATTTACACACACACACACACACACACACACACACACACACACACACACACAAGATCCTGAGACTTTCAGCTCTGACTTTCTACAAGGTTTGAATTTTGAATCCCTATACTTCACAGTGAGAGCAGTTGGAATAGAGTTGGTAAAAATACTTTCCCATTCTGTAGGCTGTCATTTTGTCCAGTCATGGTGTTCTTTGCCTGAAGAAGCTTTTCAGTTTCGTGAGGTCTCACTTATTGTTGATCTTAGTGCCTGTGCTAATGGAGTTTTGTTCAGAAAGTCTCTTCCTGTGCTAATTAATGATTTAGGTGTAGTTTTCATCACCTCTGCCCACTTATGAAATTCCATCTTCCAACTTAATTGATTTATTAGAAGTTGTAGTTCCATCTTGTTGATGGAGGTAGATATATAAAATGCTTGCCCTGCCCTACTGTCCCAGAGCCTCAGCTTTCAGAGGTCACGTTAAGATTTTATATTCTTCTGAAGTAAGGAAGAATCCTTTCCTGAAAGGAGGCCCATGAAAGACAGCAGAAACCTGATCTCACAGGAGCGCTAATACCTGGACTGCCTAGGGTGGATTCTTTCTTTTTTTCTTTTTCCCCTTGTTTAATGGGTGACCCTGAAGAGTTTGACACTGCAGTAATTATACTTTGCACTGTTTTCATTCTTTCATTACACACAGAATGGCTTAGCACAGAACCAATGGCATCCAACAATTCATTTTGTTCTCTTGAGATCCATTCATTTTTCCACCTCTTGTTAAGGGGTTAAGGAAACAGATGACATTCTTTAACTCAGATCTTGAACTGTGTCAAACGACATAGTAACCTGAGGAAGAGGAAGACAGGTAATGACAGATAATAGGCAGAGGGTTACGAGGCTCACAGAGCACCAGGAAATGCGTGATGATGGAGAACAGTTGACATTATAGTCTAGAAATCACTTTCCGTTAATTTCTTTCCGCTTCTCCTCTCAGTCACTGTCAAGTCAAGCAACTGCTCTCACTGTGAAGTATAGGGATTCAAAATTCAAACCTTGTAGAAAGTCAGAGCTGAAAGTCTCAGGATCTTGTGTGTGTGTGTGTGTGTGTGTGTGTGTGTGTGTGTGTGTGTAAATATCCTTAATTTAAAAGAAAGAAATCTGTGAGGACCATATTAAAAATATGTCTGAGCCATCTGTGTCCTGCAGGTTCACAGTCCTTAACTACTGGGGTCTTATCCAATTCTATGATGTGAATTTGTTATGAAAGTGACTAAGGCATTTTAAAGTCTTTAGTAAATGCTTTCTATTCTTTTCCATCATCTGTTTGTTTTTCTTTTGTTTGTTTGTTTTTGAGACAGGGTAACTCTACATAGCGATGGCTGTCCTGGAACTCACTATGTAGAGCAGGCTGACCTCGAACTCATGCACTTGCCTCTGCCTCCTGAGTGCTGAAATCAAAGGTGTGTACCATCAGTCCCAACCAGCAGGTTCAGGTTTGTTTCTGACCTTCCTGCATCTCTCTCCAGTAATACCTCAGAGAAGAAAAGGAGTATAAGGTGCTGTTACATTAGCCAGGTGGTGTTGGTACACACCTTTGATCTCAGCACTTGGGAGGCAGAGGCAGGCAGATTTCTGAGTTTGAGGTCAGCCTGGTCTACAAAGTGAGTTCCAGAACAGTCAAGGCTGCACAGAGAAAACTCTTGTCTCAAAAAAAGTCCTCTCATGGTGGAAATTTTGAATGTGTTGAAATAAAAGCATTTATAGTTTGAAATGTTTTAAATTTCTGAACTATTCTTTGTTGATATGGGGCTAAGAGGTGTATAAAAAGTCAGTTGAATGTGATTGGCCCTCTGTATCATGAACCAACTGCAGATCAAAATTATTTGGAAAAAAATTATGTCTGTAGGAACACGTGAGACTTGTTCCTTGTCAATAACAGCTGTTTACATGGCATTGGTCTTGTGTTAGGTTAGGGTTAGGGTCAGGTATATAGATGTAGGGGTTTTCCTCTCTCCCTCCCCACCCACCATATTTTTTGAGACAAGGTATGTCACTGACCTTGAAGCTCACCAGTTCAGAAAGGCTAGCGACATGGCAAGCCCCAGGAGCCTCCTATGATATCCACCTCTCCAGGGGGATCATGAGTGTGCTGCTGGGACCGTGCTTTTTTTTTTTTTCTTACACCACTGTTCAGGTTCTGGATTCAAATCCTCATGCAGTAAGCAAGCATTTACTTACTGACTGGCCCTTGTCCCAAGCCCTTCAGATAAAGATTTCCATTTTGATGTATTTTTGATAAAGGCACATCTCATCTGTGGAGCAAGTAAGGAGAAATGTGAGTTACATATTGGCCTCTTGAATCGCTGTGTTTAAATATATAAGGAAACCGTTTGTGACAAATGAGTGCCTATTATGATCCCAGTTGGATCATTATTTTTGCAGGGTCCTCGAATGGAGACCTGAGAGATGAGTGATAGTCTGTGGATGTTACACTTGGATTAAGTACTGTACCAGTGACGGCTCTGAGGGCGGCTGAATGATGGGGCAAGCTAACAGGGTGGAATAAAATAGAAAATGCCACTTAAAGGCAGAGTCTTGCGATGTAGGACAGGGATTCAATTTTAGTTGGAGGGACCTTAATTCCCATAATGGACAGTATAAGCTGTATAGTCAGTTTTCCTTCATAGATGCCTCTGTCAAGTAAATTATTATGAGCTAATATCACAAAGAGCCTGTTGGTAAACTAGGCATTTTGGTGACAGTGGAGTTAGCTGGAGCTATTTTTTCTCTCCCTGTGCTCTTATTGCAACATTTCTTCCAGTTTGCAGAGTTTGTTTTCAGAATTTACTCCAGAATATCTTACTTCTCTTTACTGGGAATTAACAGATGGAATTAATTACATTCATCTTTTTCCTGGTCTTGGCATTTCTAACTGGCTTCTTTATTCCAGACCTACCTTGCAAAAGTCATTCGCTATCTAAAATTCGCTGAGCAGGAGGAGGCACGGGCCTTTTCCCTTATTATCACTATTTGTTGTAGCTGCTGTTGTTCCTGCTCAGTTTCATAGCCACACTGCAGTGAACCGATGGCTTAATTTCATTTTGGTTTACACATACGGCACTATACATTTTGGTGAAGTTTTTTTTTAAAAAATGTATCCTAAAGTAACAGTTTTACCAACTTGACTTGGAAGCACATTAGCTCTGCAGATGGAGAAAGCGTCAGGAGATATGCATCTGTCTAGAATAGCTTTTTCCTTCATAAAGCCCAATAAGACTGCTTTTAAGTGAAGAAAGAAAATTTTTGGCAGTTTTATGGATTCTTAATGTGCTTCTCTACATCTTTATTTGAGGCATAATACATTCCGCTCTCCATCTAAATGAGCCAGTCCCCGTAACTAAGAAGCAGGGTCACTCCCCTCGGCCCCACCCTGTCAGCACAACCGATCTGACATGCAGGATATTGATGAGAAGTCCCACCCTAGCTGATTGCTTCAGTGGGAACACGTTTGATGCTAATGGCACAGACAATAAGAGCGGTGGAGGAGGCATCCTGCAATTTTTTATGACAAATTCTGATACCTCATTTAAAGTCATTACCTGGAAGCCGTATTATTTATTTCAGTCTTGCTACTGCAAGTACAAGGTGGATGACGCTACCAGAACATGGTCTTGGAGCCTGGATTTGAATACTAAATCTGATTCTTTTTGGCTCTGCGATTCACAATCAAGTGATATCCCTTCTGGGTCTCATTTCTGCATTTATAATGGGATTTCTGTCACTTACATTATAGGTAATGCTGATCTTCCTTCCTTCCCTCCTTCCTTCGTCCTTCCTTCCTTCCTTCCTTCCTTCCTTCCTTCCTTCCTTCCTTCCTTCCTTCCTTCCTTCTTTCCTTCCGTCCTTCTTTCCTTCCTTCCTTCCTTCCTTCCTTCCTTCCTTCCTTCCTTCCTTCCTTCCTTCCTTCTTCCCTCCTTCCTTCCCTCCTTTCTTTCTCCTATAATGTAATGTTGCAGAGTAATAATGTACACAGTATATGGTGTTTTTCATTAATGGTTTTAGGGATTAGGAAGTCCAACAGCCTGGTACTGAAATCCAGTGAGGTCCCTCCTGCTGCATCCTCACGGCTGAGGTCATCACATGGTGTTGCTGAGCAAGCACACTAGTTCCAGGGTCTCTTCTGGTGGCTTTTCTTTTCTTTTCTTTTCTTTTCTTTTCTTTTCTTTTCTTTTCTTTTCTTTT